ATGTAAAATGAGCAATTTTAGTTTAATTAGTTTCGTTCAGACTCGTTGACCGAAAAGATTTTGCCATTAAGTGGCGTTAACTAAAAAAAGAGCTTAAAATTACTCATTTCTTCTAACAAGGGTAATTACTTGTGGATGATGTGTTGCGAGAGTTATCCACACGCGGAGAACTTCAGTAAATAAGTCATAATTTAAAAACAAGAATGCTCGTATCAGGGTGAACTTTTGAATAATCCGAATGCCTCTTAAGGTCAATGGAGCATTAATAACAAGAACAAATCAAATACAATACAAAAAAAACGAATTTTGTTGTAAAATTTGGCTTTTTTTGTAAAAATCATCCTCATACACACATATAAAGTACCAAAAGATAAATTTCGTTCCTAGCTACAGGTCAATTATGCCAAATAAGCTTTTTTGACCATATTGGAACGATTTTCAGGCGGATTAAATCTCCGCTTACGCTCTAATTGTATCGCGCGCTAATTGGCCTAAATGGCAATCTTTAAACCCCAATATCTTTACAAAAAAAGTCGCAGGTAAAATATCTTTTCAAATTTAAGCTCAACACAAAAGCTTTTGAATAATACAAAAATGACGAGTTAAAAAGTTTAAATTTGTCTGAAGAAAAAAAAAACCCACCCCGAGCACAAGTAATCCGTTACTTTCCTTTTCGAAAGTCGGAACAAAAAATTAGGTCAAATGTTCTGCCTGTGAGATTTTCAGCAGATCTAAAGAAATTGCTCGTTGAAAAGTTTGGTATAACTAACTTGTAGTGAGAGTAGTTTTGAGAGTAAAAGTGTATCAAGTTGATATTTGATGCTTAATAGATATGTGTCAATAACGGTTTATTTATCCAGGCTGCGGTACCCGCATCTAAGTTTAGGCGTAAATAACCGATTATAACGGATTATTATGATGATTTTTTGACAATTATAATTGATTATAATTACCAAAATTAGGTGTTTAAAGGATTTATAAGTGATTAAAATCGTGATATTTTCCAAGAGATTATAATCTGTTATAATCGATTATAATTGATTATAGTTCTCGCAAAAACCCTTTGAAATCAATTATAATCGATTATAATCTCTTATTTTGCCAGATTTTTGTCAATTCAAAACTATAATCGAATTATATCTCATGGGGATTATTTTTGTGTCAATAAGAAAGTCTATCCTCAGGAATTCGACCCCCTGCCGACCCAAAGGGTCCCCCCTTTGGTACTTTTTAAGAAATCCGTTTTTGGCCGACCGAACCTAATATTTTTCTAAAGGCGCCTTTGGTGCCGCCAATATTTGCAAACTCTTAGGGGGAGAGCTAACTCTGTGTTTGCGGAATTTGCAATTGGCATTTACAAGAACACTTACGTGACCAGTCATTTCCGCTCCAGTCATTTTCGCCCCAAAAGCAGTCATTTGCAGAACTGACTGCTTTTGAGGCTGAAATGACTGGATCGGAAGTGACTGTGTTTTTGGGTCGAAATGACTGGATCGGAAGTGACTGTGTTTTTGGGGTCGAAAAGACTGGAGCGGGAGTGACTGGGCGGAAAACACGGGGAGGCGGTAGCGTATCGTAAAAATATCATAAAAAAAGGACAAATAAGCAAACTCTAGATAAAGAACTGTTTGTAAAGTTTTATAGATGTAGGGAACCTTGCCTTGCTTGCTCGAAGTTCAAAGCGGATTAAAAGTGTAAAAATCAATCGTGGAGCAGCATTGTTAAGCGAGAGGCTTAGCGAAATTACCTAATCTTTCACCTTTAACAGCTCCAATTATTTTTCATGCAACTTCCTTAAGATTCTGTTTTTAGAGATTCTTGAATTTACCACAATTGAAAATATATTTTGGAGTAGGCAAATATTGCTTTTTCTCCACAAAAATCCTGCGGCATTGCGTTGGCAGAGTGGCGTTTGACTGTGCATTTGCAGTTGCACCTCGACTGGAGAACACGCATTAACCTTCTTTCAAGTTCCGAATTTTTCATACCAAGTTTTTTCTTGATTCATTGGCTTACTGTTTAAAATTTCAAAAAAGGAAGCAATTTGCTATCAAGCTTAAAATTGCGAAAATCAGCCACCCTGGATTTCTTGAGGAAATTCCATCTCAAATAAATTTTTACGTAATTTTCTTTTCATGGGCAACACGTCAACTTTTTTCCGGGGAAGATCTTTCATTTTTGCTAAGAAGAAGTTTTTTGTGGTCTGCAAAATGCACGAGGACTTTTTTTTTGTATTTTGGTTGTCGCTGTTCGACCATTTTCCAGACATCGGGAATAATGGTTGCTTCGAAGGAAAAGAGGCTAAGTTTTGTTATCGGTGTAATTTATTGTTCCGAATTTCAAAGAAAACGGATTATGCTCGGTGTGGTTTTTTTATTCAGTCAATTTTCACCGATCAAAATAATAGTTTTCAACAAATTTTTTTAATACCCCATTAAAGATATTGACTTCCTGAGTTCAAATGTAAGAAGATATTTCACCTCTAATTTTTTAATAACGTTCTGGAGGTTTGAAAATTGGCAAATTTGCCATGTTCTGGACTAAATTATGCGCGCTTGGAAGAGTTTATTCATAATACTGAGAGTGCAACGCTAATTATTTATGCTAATCCAAAATGAATTGAGGTCAGCTAATCAGATGGGTCGTATTAATTTTGTGCGACTCAAGTTTTTACACTTTGGTATTGTCCAAAATGTTTAGGTTTTCACAATTTTCTTTTCTGGAAAACTATTCGAAATGAATTGAGGGACAGTCGTAGTTTTCAGGGTGTTGACCTGATAAACGAGCAGACATGTTGCTCTTTTTGTTGCGTTATTCTTTCAACTCGTTCAGTCCCCACAGCGAAAACTTATACTAGAAAAGCGGAAACAGCACAACACGCGTTTTCGAACGCTAAACAGAAAAAGGCCGAGTGGTTTTTCCTCAAAGTCAATCTGAACAAGTCAGGTATCAGGACTTCTTCTGAACGCATTTTCTACTGTTCATTCTGCTAGTTCTTCTGTTTCCATTGTAACAGGATTAGTTTTATACTGTTTAAAAGTAGAAAAAGTTAAAATGAAAAACTAAAAAAACAATGAATTTTTTTTTAAATGAAAAGCATCCCTCCACACGCCAAATAAAGTACAAAGTGATAGATTTTGCTCGCCTCAACGAACATATCAAAATGGCAAAAAAGATTCTTTTGACCAATTTGGAACGACTTCTAAGAATTTATCTCCGCTTACGTGCTAATCGCTCAAAATGAATTGAGCTTTAATTTTCGAAAAAACAAATCGCCAAAATGGCAACTTTAAACCCCTTAACTTTACAAAAAGTAATCACAGAAGTATCTTTTCAAATTAAAGCATTTAAGCTGATGACAAAAAACCTTTTGAGTGATATAAAAAATTCCGCCAAATATTGCTAGTTAAAAAGTCGAAATTTGTCTGAAGAAAAAAACTACCCGAGCACAAACATTACGTTACTTCTGTTATGAAATTCGGAACCATAACAAGCAAATTTACCAATATCATTTTTCCTGAGTTTTAATTTGAAATTATTTCACCTGTGATCATTTTTTAAAAAGTTTTTAGGGTTTAAAGATTACCATTTAGGTTAATTTGGGACCGTAAACACGCGATATAACTCGCGCTATTTACGCGTAAGCGGAGATTTAATCCATCTTAGAAATCGTTACAAATTGATAGAAGGAAGCTTGTTTGCTTTAATTAAAAAGGTTAATAGAAGCAAAATTTATTACTTTTAGTACTTTATATGGCGTATGGGGGGATCATTTTCACAAAAACTTTCAATTTTAGAAAAAAAAATTTCTTTTTACATTCAATTTTTTCACTTAATTACTGGTCCATAGACCTTAAAAGGCTGACGGAAAATTAAAGGCTTTGCCTTGATACGAACAGTCTTGTTTCACTTTCTTGTTTAAAGTCATCAATCGCACTATTACGGAAAAGTTTATAAGTGAAATTGTATTTTTCTTACAGAATTGCAGTCATAATTAAAATTATTTTTTTTGTGCGCCTTTTAAATTTTGTTTGAAAATATTTTCACCAAATTTCGACTTTCACGCTTCGTAACATTCTCAACAATAAATTGTTTGGACCTGTTTTGGATCTTTTCTGAGTTCATCAGGAGACGAATAATAATCTGTACAATCAATTGGTTCTTGTCTTGCATGATACACCCACAAGAACCGAATAACTTTTTGTTTCTTTTAGGCAAAAAGGCAGAACAAAAAGTTATCTCCAGATCTTCAAAACATTTTAATTTTCAAAACAGCAAATATTTTTCCATTGGTTGTTCAGAACTCATGTAGAAAAACTTGTCAGCACTTCAGAACAAGTAGAAATTTTAAGCATTGGAATTAAAGCATTTTGCAGTATTTTTATCGGGTGCAAATTTGAAATGCTTACAACTTAAATTACCTCTTTTGAGCAATGTTTTTTTTTTCAAAATCCAAATTAAGCCAGATACATCAATCCAACACAAAACATCAGAATGAAAAAGGTAGTCAAAGTTTTACGTTGAGTTTCAAATTGCAATTTTAAAAAATCATTAACCTTTCAAAGTGAACTTTTGTTTTAGGTTCAAAAAGTTTTAGTATATTTTTTCATGCAAAAAATGCGTCTCATCAAATATATTTTCAACTTAATTCTCAGTCAATTTTTTCTAGTCAAGGTCTTTTTTTGGTCAGCTTGCATTTGGCTTGCATTTGGTCCCAAACCTCAATTGTACATCAATAGTTTTCAAAATTAACAAAATTATAGAAAAAGGCTCTCATAGTTGTTTTTTTTTAATTTGCTGTTTTATTGTTTCTGTTGTTTTATTATATTTTTTCATTTGACATCTGTAACACGTTCAGTGAAAAATTTCTCCATATTCAACCAAAATTTTCTTCGTCCATCAGAAACTCCAGCATTTTTTGGACATCAAAGCTGCCTATATACGAATGACCAGATAGACTCAAAAAAAATTTTCTTAGAATTTAACTTTTTCTTCCACAATTTGATGCTTATAATTAGGATACAGGATTTTCATAGAAGATTAGGAGACCTTTCGGAACTCATTTTTTTCAGTTGTTGAAGGATTTGGATTATAACTTTCTTTGAGCACCATCTTGGAGATGTTTGTAGCGTTATTTTGGTTTTGCAACATCAAAGAATGAGATCTGATTTGTTTGATCATGAACGTCCCGCAGACAAATGTTCTTGGGTTTGCTGCCAGTCTTGCTGTTGTCGCTTTCTCCGTGCTTTTCTACTTCCATTTCTTCCATTATTCACTTTCTGTTTCATTTCTTTTTTCCGGGCATGTCTCCTCGGACTGTGCTGGCCGCAAATAGAAGGATGATCACGACACATAATATGATGTTTGAACCACTGGAACGTCAGCTGAGATCCAGGGTCGAAGTAGTCAATTGTGATAGACGGAACCTCTGGAATGCCATCTGCAAACTCTTTTCCAAGAATAACATAAGGAACGCCTTCCCTTATGTTTTCGCCATGGTGACGCCGCAGTGCACCAGGCCCAAATCCAACCTCGAAAACGACGTTCTTGCAGACGCCTTCAAAGAAATCTGCCTATAAACAAGAAATCTCATGAATAAATGGGAGTATACAATTGGCTTAACTCTATTTTAAAAACATATTGTCCATATTAGTTTCTGCAAATTGAGTTTCTTTGCGATGGACGCGACTCAAAACGGGTATGTTGCTACAATTATTATTGTTTCGAAACTTTGCGCGACTGAGAACTGTCAGAAACAAAAACGCCATTTTTCTTCGCTCAATTTCAAAAAGAACGTAAAATTTTGTTGCAGGTCACATCCAGCATATCAAAATTGTTGAATTATTTCAAAATGTACATTTTGCCGCTCCAATCCTTCTAGCTTGACTGAAGCTAAGCTAATTTTGACAAAAAAATTTGCAGTCTCTAAGAAATTTGCAGTGTGAGATCATATTCAAACCTCTTATATTTTGTTCTTCTTCGGTTCTTCAACCAAGTCTTCTGTCGATTTTAGAATTTTTCATTTTTTGACAGCAACTGTTTGTCCTGTGTAGATTTGGTGATGCTATGTATTGCATCCTATACTAACCTGAGCGTAAGAATGATTCGTCATTAAGTTAAGTAGTACAGCAAACAAAAGGCAAGTTCGAAATAGTTCGATCTTCGAAGATATCTCCCACCTAAGCCAGAAAACAAAATTTGGCAAAATCAGCGAACCCCCCCCCCCCCCCCCAATCGGAAATAAGAAAGCTAATGTTATGAAATTCAGTGGAACGATACTAGACATGATATGACCCTTGGGGGGACAAGTGATAACGGTCGCCGGAAGTCTAAATGGCCTTATCAGAACTCGGAAACTAGCCGCGGTTTTGGGCTCAATTTTAGTATGATGTAGGCCTAGTATAGAAGTTTCACCCCGGTTGACCCCTGGATGACCTTTAGTTGACCTTTGGGCTATTTGAACCCAAATTTGCATAGAAAACCTTGAGATTAACACCGGAAAAGGCGTATTCCCAGCCCAACTCCTGGAAATGTGAATTGGTCACCTTGGTTAAAATTGGGAGGAAAACTTATAAATTGGGAATTAGAGCAGAAGCTGATAGAGATAGAGTTTTATTTTGCAACTTTGGGTTAGGAGAGTTAATTCGAAGTGAACTTGCTAAACATTGGGTTCAGTTTAGCTTATTAAAACGGTCTGTTAATAGCATTTTAACTAGACTAAAGAAAATTAGTCCCAGAAGAAAGTGATACTAATAGGAACGCAACATGAGAATTAAGTCTCATAAAAAGTGCGAACGAACGGGGATACTATTTGGCTCACCGGAGGTGACTTTTGGGTTTGATGTGATCCCTTATAGACCAACTAGGTTCCCCTGATAGCTAGAAGGTCGGGATTGAAATATAGAACTGGTCGGAATTTTAGACACCTGGAAGGGTTCAGCTACCAATGAAAAGGGTCTCTCCCTACCATTGGGAGGTCGGAAAGTTAACGGGATAACTATAATAAAGACCTTGGGATGGTCACTGAGTAAACACAGCATGGTTTAGAGATTTAGTATAACTCGAGGGCTAAAGTCACTGAGGTCAGGATTTAGTTGATTAGAATCGTATGGATTTTGATTGCTTGGGCAAATTGTGACACCTACGGCATACCGGGTATCTAATAAGCGTGAAAAGATTGATGACCTATTTTTTTGTAGGTTGATCAGATTGATTTTCCGAGCTCTCCCAAAGCACTAAAGAGACCCACCCTGTTTTTGCCAAATGTTCTGCGCCGCAGGCAAAAAAGGGGACCCTTTGGGTCAGCAGGTGGTCGAATCCCTGAAAGGGGAGGGCGTCCGCCCCCCTAAATCCTCCTCTGATTACAATGATTGTGGGCTGGTCTGAGTTAAGGTGTTTATTCGTATTTTGAACTGTAATGTTTCATTTGTTATTCATGAGAAGCACAATTTTATCACAAAGAAAATACCTTTCTAATAAATTTTGTATCCAAAAGTTGAACCCAGGGGCGGATATAGAATTTTCTTGAGGGGTGTTCAAAAAAATGTCGAAAATTTTGTCAAGTTTTTATTTGGGCTCATCAAGTTGATTTTCCGAGCTCTCCCGAAACACTAAAGAGGACATGTTTTAGCCAAATTTTCTGCGCCGCAGGCAAAAAAGGGGACCCTTTGGTTCGGCAGGTGGTCGAATCCCTGAAGGGGAGGGCGTCCTCCCCCCTAAATCCACCTCTGATTACAATGCTTGTGGGCTGGTCTGAATTAAGATGTTTATTCTTATTTTGAACTGTGATGTTTCGTTTGTTATTCAAGAGAAGCACAGTTTTATCACAAAGAAAATCCCTTTCTACTAAATTTTGTATCCAAAAGTTGAACCCAGGGGCGGATATGCAATTTTCTTGAGAGGTGTGTTCAAAAAAATGTCGAAAATTTTGTCGAATTTTTATTTGGGTCCATCAAGCTGATTTTCCGAGCTCTCCCAAAGCACTAAAGAGAACCTGTTTTAGCCAAATTTTCTGCCCCGCAGGCAAAATTAAAAAAAAACAGGACCAAAAAGTGCTTTTAGGATTTTGACCAAAAATCGCGTTTTTTGGAGCACACTCCCCCTTCAAGACTAGTATATATGTCAGCCAAAATTGTATATCTCAAAATAGTACATAGGGGGGACCCTTTGAATTGGCAGGTGGTCGAATCCCTGAGGGGGGGGGGCGAGGGGAAAGTCCGACCCCCGCCCCCTTAATCCGCCCCTGGTTGAACCAGTAGATTTTACAGTCAAAATGGAGTAATTTTGGCCAAAATCAGATATCAAGTATTCCGACTGACGCGTTTTTTTTGTGTGAAAATTTTGTATTTGTTCTTTCTTCATATTCGTTACTTAAAAAACGAAGTAACGTGCAATAATTTCGGTTCTATATGACAAGAATATTATTTTAAATTTACTCAAATTATTTCACCTGTGAAAACTTTTCAAAAAGGAAGTTCGCTGGTTATCCTTTTTAATATCAAGTTTTCTATCGAATTATAGGAGACAAATCAAGTAGAAAAAAAATTTCTGAGTAACTGCATCAGCTTAAAAAATTATGAACCAATAAAAATGTCATTTTGTAGATAAACGTGATTATCGGTGTACTTTTTATATAAAAAATCTGAAAAACTAGCTTGAAATTGTATCAATCAAATATGTTATACAAACTTAAAATCTGTTTGAATGCTCTAAACTCTGCATGAAAGTAATCCTTGATAAATTTTCGAACATTACCGAGACTCAATGCTTTGAAAAATCAACACCGCTTATAAAATAAGAAAAAAAATGCATTTTGTTGCTCCAACCGTTTAATGGAAACTATAGTGTCTTCTAGTCAGCTAGTTTTGTCAAAGAAAACTTTTAACTTCTGAGAATTTTGCAAATTTATATTAAATTGACCAGTGGCGGATCTACGATTTTCTCGAGGAACAAAAAATATATAAAATCTTGTCGACCTTTTTTTAGGTCAATCAAATTGATTTTCCCAGCTCTCCCAAGGCACCAAAGCATCAAAGCTCCCTTGTTTGGGCCATATTTTCCGCGCCGCAGTAAAATTTTGAAAAAACAGGCCAAAAAAGGCGTTTTTAAGCACTTTTTGAAAAATTTTGACCAAAAAATTGAGCTTTTTCGGCGCGCATTCCCCCTCCAATTTAGTATAAATTGGCGCCGAAGGCGCTTTCAGAAAAAATTTGGCAGGTGGTCGAAAGCGTGCCAAAACGATAACCAACCCCCCCCCCCTCCCTAAATCCGCCCCTGAAATTGACACCTTCTCAGTCACTATTGATTTGGGATGGATGTTCTAACCCATAGAGTAATTTCAGATAGAGTACACCGTCTACTCGTCACGCTATCTTATTTTCGGCCGGATAGATTCGTGCAACTTCCTGTTTTGTGTTAACCTTCTATGTCGTGTTTATTACTGGTTTTTCCTATCGTTGTTTTGGTTGTGTCCTTTTCTTTAAAATCAAATTGTTTGGTTTGGGTTTGTCTTGCGACTTTTTGGTGTTTTATTATTTCTTTTTTAGACTTGTCAACAGTCTTCAATATAATAAATTACCCAATTCTTTAAGCTGGTTTAATCCGGTTTGGGTACCGTGGGTTTTGCGTAGATGCGTTGGTTAGCTTAGATTATTTTATAATTCATTTCCAACCGGGTTAAAAGAAAGTATGAGTTTTGTTATTGTTGTTTGAGTTGTGTTTAGTGAAAGTTAAAACTTGAAACTCATTTTTTTTTACAATTCGTCGTGGGCGAGCTGTGCGAGTTTGGATAGAATTCTTGTGCGAGTGAATATAAACAAGCGTCTTTTAAAAAGTTAGTACTGCTTTCTTTTATATAAATCTTTGTATTACTTGATAGGGGTGGGTTGTAATATTGAGATTGTGTTTATTTTAGCTTCCAAGTTTTAGCAGGTTGCTTATTTTTGACCTGGAGGTCTTAAAGTTATAGGTATACTTATGCTTAGAGTTTACTATTTGTTGGCTAATAAAGTTGTGTTCGTTTAAATAAGATGATGATTTGGAATGATTTATATTGGCTGATTTTGAACTAGAATTGTTCAAGTGTTTTTCAGCATGTTATTTTGAAAATGTGAAAGTTCAAAATTGTTAAAAAGAAGTCGGAGATAATAATCAAAATTAGAGTTGTTTTAGAAATTGAATTTTTTTCAATATTTTAGATTGTTGAATGAATGTGTTATAATTTTTTCGTGGCTGACTTCTAAGTCGTGATGATTCTCTATGTTCAGATTTTTCTTTTTGATTCTGTGATAGAATTTTTTCTATCATTCTTCTATTTTTTCTTTCTTTTTGAGATGTTTTTGTTTCTATTTTAAGAGATGTTTGGTTATCTGATTCTCTTTGTTGGATTGTTTTTGGATTTTCATTTTTGTCAGTGTGTTGATTTTGTTCAATTTATGACTTGTTTTGAACAATTTTTAAATCTGTGAAAGACTATAATTGAGTTAATTCACGGAGTGCATATTTTTTTGGATAGTAGGGTAATAGATTATTTCGATGTTGAACAATTTGTTTTTTTTGTTTCAGTAAGTTTATA